ATTCAGATGAGTGAGCTTCCCACACAGTGGAGCCTCAGTATCATGGTAACTGAGGCACCTATGGGCTACAAGAAAATCCAAATGACCTGAATCATATCATGATCTGTTTGCAGTCCAAAGAAGGCCATCAGAAGAATGATGCCATAAGCACTTCCACAGCAAATAAGTGCAGTCACTCTTTCCCTACTTAATGCCAGGACAAAACTTTCTATGGAATACCACAGGAATACAAAAAAATGTGCATTTACATGCCAAATGACAGTAAAATTGGTATTGGTTAAAGGTAGATTTCTATCTCTGTTAAAAGATTATACCTTTAACAAAAAAAATAGATTATACAAGATTATACAATAGATGATAAAAGATTATACATGAAATGTGAAGAGCTGTGCTGTTTATGGAATAATTCTGTTCTAACAGCAACATAAACGAACTACTTAAAGGATTTTAAAGGAAGTAATAACCACAGATATTTCTGTACATGTAAAGTGGATTCTGCTTGCCATACTCCAAGCACGTACTTAAACATTCAAGGAAAAACCAATTTAAAATATCATATAGCAAGGGGAAATAAATGCATTGAACATATTTATGGTTCCACAACAAAATCTCCCTAAATTTTTAAAGAGGAAGACAATATTTACAGCTCCTTGTAATTTATTTTGGACTCACAAACTATTCAATACATTTTATATATTGGTATTATAAATCGTAGATTATTTAGGCTTAGACTTAATTACTCTAGTTATGTACATATCTTTCCAAACTCAGGAAACATTGCCAACAGAGAGCTCCATGTTTCTCTCAGATCTATTACTACTCATATATTCAGACAAAATTTCCTCTGAATAACTGCACAGCAAAACTGCTAGTTCAGCACATTGAAATGAATACTACTATATTGCTTTCTTTAATAGCCAATCATCACTGCCAGTGAATAATTTAACGTGGATAGATTTTGATTTGGCCTACATGGCTGCCTAAACACATTTCCATTCAGCTGCTCACAGCATTTTCAAGGAGGTCAGTTATAATGCTGTGTCATACTTTCATTTCCTAAGTAAGGGGCATTGCGCTGCTCGCCTGATATGCAGGCGAGGAAGTCGACCAGTTCTTGGTAGAAACAGGGCTGCCAATCATTCAGTGAAAGTGTGACTCAGCAGCTCCTTAGTCTGCAAAAGTGCTCTGCACATAGGAGATAAACAGGAGGGAGATGTCTTTCCAAGCATATAAATTCCCTGGTATGTATATAAACAAAAATGTCCTTACCACCATACAGAATTTATTAAATAATTTTGTTCACTAATTAATTTCAAATCTTCTCTTCACATACAAGAGTGTATAAACTAGGTTATTTAGCCATTCCTAATTTTTGCCAGGAATTGATCCCTGAAGATCTCTTTGACTAAATTAAAGTTGTTCATTTTATTTACCAAAAAATTGTACACACTAAGGTAGGAGAGTGATTTTTCTTCCCACAAGAAATGGGCTTATAAATTTGAGTCATAATTATTCACAACTAAAACCATCTTTCAAAATTAAAAAATAAATGGCTACAAATTTTCTATACATGGACACCAGCCCACTTAGAATACTCAGACCTACAGCAAACACTCAGTCTAAAAATATGAGGGAGAAGTCCTTCCTCAGAACATGCAGAAGAACACATATCAACATGAATACAGAGCAATTGCAAAAAAAAAGTCAAGGTAAAAGCTGCTTGCTGCCATTTTATGAAAGACTCCAGGTCTAAATTTCTTTGTTCTCTAATAAAGGAGAAAGTACCTATAACATCTTGAACAATCTTCATTTTCTGTATGACAGGAATCCAAGGGAACTGAAGTTTCTCTCAGATGGACTAGGACTCTTTGATTTCAAGAAAGACAACCATGCGATGTAGAACAAAGGTATATAAAACCCAATTCTTACTGCGCAAAACATGGGGATCTCAAATGAACTGATCAGGAAGAAGTCTGGGGGAAAAAATTTAAAAATGGAGGAATTGTTTGTAAATGCCTAAGTAAGCTTTGTCACTGCTTATGATAAATACCAAACACAGGTTCAAAAGTGATTCAGCAATTTCATGTAGATGAGAACCAGAAACTATGAAATACAACGACATGGATACAACCTTTGCTTCAGTAAATCCCAAATCCTAAACATCAGATTGCTCAAACATTCAACTGCATGGTCCTATCCTCTTTCCTACCCTTGTCACAGAAAAATCCTCTGGCCAGTGTCAGACACAAAGTATCGGTTTTTAGGGACCTATTGTGATTGATTGTGTAAATGATTCTTGGTCTTTATGCACTGGAGCTAAAAACCAGAATTTTAAGTTCAGTACATAATGGTTGTCTACCACAAAGTAGGATCCAGTCCTCAAGATGTTTAGGAATAGCAGCAATTTAACCAGTACAAGGCTAATGCATACTCATGTGCACACACATGAATTTACAGAATAGAAATCCAATTGTAATATGTTTTTATTGCTACCTGTTTTCATGGTCTTTTTGACAAGAAATACAAAGTGAGGAGCTGATTTTCTTGGTTCACTGGGGCTTTGTTATCCATCAAAATACAGTGCTTGGTGAACTCCTGACCTAACTGGCCTTTTTCTTTGCCATATCAGTGCATACACAATTATCTTGTCTGGTAAAGCACAGAAACCTCTTCATAACTACACAACTGTTCCAGTTTTATTCCCTTCTGCATACACCTCTTGCATAGCAACCTGCCCAGATAACTTCACCTAATTTCTTAAACTTACATTATTTTTAAGGGAGCCACAAAAATGCAAGTGACTCTCCAAAGATGTGAAGCATTATATGGCTGATAAACAATGTCCTCCAAGCGCTACTGACACAATAACTGATAATGATGCACAGGCTGCTGTAGTAATGGCAATAACATCTCTAGGAATTCAAATGCCTATCTTAAATTATACTCTCTGCCACCAGCAAATGGTAAAAGAACAAAAATAGTAGCTCTTATTCCCATAAGAATCTAAAAAAAAAAATATGTGGAATGGCTTATACAAAATGACAAGAGTTTCAGTTCATTAATAAAAACCCATTTCCAAAGCGTTTCTAGATTTGTACTATACAAAACAAAACCAAAAACAAAATAAAACAAAAACAATACAAAACAAAAACAAAAGCCAAAACAAAACAACCACAACCTTAAAAAACTTATGTAAATTTCACACAGGAAAAAAACATCAGAGTTTGCTGAGTGGAAAAGATGAATCAAGATTAACAGAGAAACACTATTTTTAAAACTCCTAAAAATGTTACAGAGTTAAAAATATTAAGTAACAACTATTTTTATAGCAGCTGGCAATGTCCATTTAAGGTTGACAATTTCTTGGAGATAATTAGTACTACACATCACATGGAGCTCTCACTGTTTTGAGTTTATTGCAGTACAACAGCATAATCTGACGGTTTTAAAACTCAGAATTGATCCCTGTCTTTGGCTTAAATCCAAGTTATAATTATAGTAGATGTACTAATTTTTTTATATACTGCTGCTTATATTTTGACGTAGTGATTTTGTTGTTTTCGTGTTGCAAAACTGAAACTAGACAAGAATAAACACAGAGGGAAAAAATTAAGGCTTAAACTGAGTTTAATGTGTAACTCCAACGCACCATCACAAAGCCCAAGAGGCAGGATATGCAATCCTGCATTCCTTATGCACTCGTAATACCTCTTGGCTTCAGTGGAAGTTTTAAGAAAGCATACAATCAGAACCTATAATTTCATTAATTGCACGCCACAGGCAGTCCATGTGAGGTAAGAACCATGAACCAAACTGGTTGGAAGGATGGTGGAACCCATTAGCCCCGCCTGCATCTTTGTGGACCACTGAGTCTATGAATCCTTGTTTTCCCTACTCACCCATACTTCCAGCTCTTCCTCATGACAGACTGCATCTGTCATGCAGACAGCAGTGCAGCCGTTTCACTCACGACACATCACAGCTCTCAGGTCTCTGTTACTGCTCTCCATTACCATCCTCCCCCAGACTCTTGGCAGTACTGAGGGCTTCACCTGATGCAGATCTCTGCTCTGTTGGGATTTTTATATTATTCATACTAGGCACAGACAAAATGAATGTTATGTAGCTATTAGTGCAGAGTGCTTTGACATATTACATATTTCGTTAGATATCCTTTGGGCAATTTAGGAAGTATCATCTAAAAACCCTGTGAATGAACTTGTCTTTTACAGTATTACTGTACATATAACTTTTCCATGCATACCATAAACATAAGTGACTCCACTGGATGTGTGTTACAGATAGTTTTATGGTATTTCTCAAGATTTACTTATATATGTAGGAAGCAATAACATGGAAAAAACCTCCCATATTATAAAGGCCTTTTATTTGTTAAAACATGAGGGGAAAAAAAAAAAGGGGGGGGCACTTGAAAGCTAGTTTTTTTCTAAATATAAAAACCAACAATCAAATTTTAAAGGAAACCATTCGCAGGATGAAGAATTACAGATGATGTTACAGTGAGGTGTCAATCTATAGACAGCTGTCCACTGCAAACTGACATTTAGAAGCACACAGCAGATAACTGTTCAGCTACAAAGCCCCCATTACCTCCCCATATAATAAATTGAAAACCCTTGTTAACTTCTACCTCTGTCACTGAACACAATTCAATTTTTACAACACCTAACCAACAACAAACTTACAGGTTCTTTTACAACAGCCTTAAAACATCTCCAGACTAAACTTAAAAAAGTTTATTCTTAACTATCCTAAATGCTCAAACTTTGTAAAGAACCTTCCAATGTGTAAAGGCACACAAAAGAACAAAATAAAAAGCAAACAAATGGAAGGTATAAAAATGAGGGTGACTTAGGGATAAGGAGGATGAAAAAAAAAAAAGGAAAGGGGGGAAAAGAACAAAAGAACACTTTAAAAAAGAGAGAAAGAAAAGCATGACAATGAAAACAAATGAATCGTTGAAACTATGGTGGGAGGAACTGATGAATATTAACTTTTATTATTGCGATTACAAAATACATTTCAAAATTGGATGAAACACATTCTATGTATGTTTTGCCAAGGACATTCTTGGCAATTACAAAGTCAGGAAAATTATAATTCAGTCAGTGAGGCATTACTTAAAACCACTTGAAAAAAGCAGATCATTTGAACCAGCAAACAGACTGCATGGGTAAAATTTTAAACACTCAATATTCTGGAGCAGTACAGATTGCACTCACATGTTGCAGTTCCAATAATGGGGTCATTAGAAATACAGCAATTTTTCTTCCTGGGTGCATTTTACCAATCTTTCTTTTGTAAATGAGCAACAAAGCCTCATCAACCTTTTCCATATAAAATGAGGACAATTCTAGAAAAAAAAATCAAGCACTTGTAGAGTAAAACTTTTATTTTGCTAAAAAATCTGGTTTAAACTTCTTTAAAAGCTGTACTGTCCACGACAACCAGATCACATCTATAAAGATGGTTGCTGAATTTATAAGGCACATGTGGGTCACTTTACCACGCACCGAATCTGTGCGCTTGCCTCGAAATGGATGATACGTCCTAAAAACGTTACGAATACGTCATTACGTCTGTTGCTGCACTGGCAAAACCCACAACAAACAGGTCACCTTGACCTCTGTCATGTACACTGTAATTTCACAGAACTGCTGACACCCGAAGAACGGGATTGACTGAAAAAGGCACCAGGCATTCACCATTCCCACTGGAAAAAGAGCGTGCCCTGCGCTCCCCGCAGTACTGCTTATTTACATATCGCAGTGATTGCGCTGCGAAGGCGAGCGACGCAGCCTTTTGATTTAACCCGTCAGGTTGCCGAAGCCTTTGCAAATTGCCCGTTGCGCAATCGGACTTTCAGAGGACCGAAAACGCCGTGGACGGGCACTCCTGGGGGGGACATTACCACCCCAGACCGCCACAGCTCCCCAAGCCGCGCTCCGCCGCGCTCGCAGACGGGGCGCAGGCTCCGGCAGGTGCGCAGGGAAGGAGCCGGTCCCAGCCCAGAGCGCCCGAAGCGGAGCTCCGGGGTCATTTCAATCGCCGCTCCCGCGGAAGCAGGTGCGCCGCAGCGATGCCGCTGCCGCCCCGCCGCGCTGCGGGGGGCGCGTGACGTACCGCGCCGGATGGGGGCGGGGGGACGACTGCAGTGATGGAAAATTTTCGGCTCCTGCATCTCCTGCGCGTGCCCTCCCCGGTTCCCGCCCCTTCCCGGCTTCCACTCCCGCCCCCCATCCCGGCGTCGGCGGTGGCGGTCGGGTGCCGCCGCCTCGCGCCGCCCGGCGCCTTCCCGCCCGCTTCCCGCCTGCCTGTCCCGGCGATAGTCGCGGGGCAAAGCCACCGTCCTCCCGCCTATCTCAGCCCTGGGGACGCTCGTGTCCTCGTTAGAGCCGCGGGCACTGCAGTGAGCCGAGGAGTGGGGGTGAGGTGAGGGATTCGCTGTCCCTCGACGGTGTGAACTGCTCTCGTGTCCCGGCGGCCGCCGCTGCCCCGGCACAGCAGACAGGCAGCCGCCCCTCGCACCCTCCACGGGCTCTCGATGCTGCAGAAGAAGGGAGAGAGGGCAATAACGCAGGGGGTCAAACGATTCGGTGGCAGGGCATCCCCCGCGCTCGAGGCTGGCAGCACCAGACCGGGCGTAGGAGTGCGCTGCTGCTGCGAGCACAGGAGCTGGGGAGGCTGCTGTGCACCCCCCTGTCCCTCTAGAGACAGCAGCCAAGCGGGCCCCCCCGTCAAGCCTCCTTCGGCGCTGTGTCCCTGCACGGTGCGTGTGAGGAGCTGCGGCGGACGGTGACACCCCGCCGTCCGCTGCCACGGGGGGCCGAACAGCAAAGCTCTCCAAATCTTCTGCAATGGTTACCTGAGGAAAAGGAAGCAGGATGTTCTGTTTCCCCCTCTCTTCCCTACATGGGGTTTATCGTGAATCACATCACTGGGGGCAGTCTGTCATTCCGATTCACTTCCCGAAGGAAGCGTTCGGGGTGTCTGCCGGCTGCCCTCGGGCTCCGGGCTTGCACGTGCGCTGCTGCGGGTGTTAAAAATAGCGAGTGACCGCACCGAGGAGCTATGAAGGGTCAGTGGCACCTCGTCCCGCGCCGGAGGCAGGCGCGTGGTGGAAGAGGGAGGCAGATGCTGGGTGCATCGGTAGTCGCCGGGTGCTGCAGTCACGCTGCGGATGCTGCACTGGCCCGGTAGAAGCGCCTCTCAGGCAGAGCGCTTTTGACAGGCATCGCAGCGTCCTGTCTCCGCCGCGTAAACCGGTGCCCCAATGTAAACACTGGGGAGCTGCTCGGCTCACGAGCTAGCGGCCGCGCTCCCGACCCCCGCCGGGCGCCCGCCGCTGACCGGCTCCCAGCCCTCAGTCGGGGACGCCCCCCCGCCCCTGTGCCCCCCAAGCCCTGCCCGGGCGGCGGCAGGGGGTCAGTCGGGCAGGGCGGGGGGCGGCGCGGCAGCGGGCGGGCGGGCGCCGCGCCCCTGCCGTGACACGCCCACATTCCTGCCTGAAGAGCGGCGGCGCCCCGAGGGGGCCGTCAGACCGGGAGGGACGCCGGAGCGATACAGACGCGATATTTTCATTCCTTTTGATACCTCTGACTTTTTTTACGCGATTTTTTTTTTCTACCTTTATTTATCTAGGGGCTTGTTTTCGCTGACATTTCATAGTTAAGGGCTTTTTTTTCCCTTGCAAGAAGTAGCAGCGGAGACGGGAGAATCTCGTTATTCCGAGGCTTCGGGAGAAACCTTCGCTTTCAAGCTCGTGCGTAGAAGGTATGGCAGGGGCTGGCTGTTACCGGGCCGCCAAGAAGAAAGGGGTTACTTTTTGGACGGAGCACGGCTCGTCCTTCGCGCTTTTGTCCGGTGGCAGCGCCTCGGCTTGTCGCCAAGACCCTGCCGGGCTCCGCCGAGACGCGCGTAGGGATGCGCCGCCGCTGCATCCCGGAAAGGTGGCAAACCCGCAAAGCGACTGCGGCGCGACGCAGTCCCGCCATCGCTTTGCGTTTTTCCGTTGAAAACCGGGGTTGACCGTCGGGTCGCCGGCGGGGAGGCGGGAGGTAAACACAAGGGGGGACAGCCGCGGGGCGGGAGGCTCCGGCAGCCGATGTGACAATCGCCCATCGGTGTTGCATCAGTCTGCTCTCCGCTATCGGGGCGGGGAGGCGGAGGGGGGAGGGGGGTGCGGCGTGGCGGTGGCGGCGGCGCGGGCCGGGCGGTGCAGCCGC